GATCACAGCCATCTTCGAGCGCTTACCCTTGATTCCGAGCTTCTTGCTTTCTTTGACCGCTTTTTGGGAATACCTGCTAGATCATAATCCTCATGTTTTATATCATTCACTGCTACGGCAAGTTGACGTGTGTCTGATGCATTCGCCATCGGTACCTAAACGGGGAACTATCGCTGCGTATAACGAAATACCAATCGCTAGTCAAAGTCTATACCAAAAGGTCCGCCAGGTCGAATCGTCTGGACTTGGGGACTGGGAGTATGGACTTTGATTCCCTGCGAACGAGTTCTAAATCCCGGAAGAGTGGAGGGAAATTACTGAGCGGCGCTTCCGAGTGCCTTATAAAAGAAAAGAAACGAACATTCTCTGCTTCGTATCTGGCTCTGCTTAGCCGCTCCTACCAAACTGCTCTGCGTTAGATGGGGGACGTATAAGGGGGATAAAAAGGAATGTGCTTTAGATAAAGGATCCGCTCGCATCGACTTTCGCGGGTTGTATTGTTACCTAGCGCTTTCGTTTCGTGAAAATGGGCCGTCCTCTGTGACTGTGGGCTCACCAGTCTTGCTTAGCAAAGGGTTTTTGCATTTAGGTTCGCGGGACCTGTCTAAGTTATTGCTAAGTCAGATTAGCGATTGTAAGTAAAAAATCCGCGCATTGGAGCAGAAGATGAACGTAATGCTGGAAATAAAGCAAAAATGATTATAAGGAAAGCGCATACACCCGAAAAGAACAGATATACTACAATCCTCATCACTGCGGACTGTCGGAGGCGGCGTGAGCAGCGCGGTTCGAGTCCGCGTTCGACTCCGAGGGAGCAACAACCAATGATGGAAACGCCGCAGGTGAGAACCGCTGATTGCCACCCGACAATTGGGGTGATAAGTGTATATATCCCGAAAATGCGTGGCTGCGTTCTTTACCTAAACGAGGCAACTCTTTTGTTGTGATCTTCTAATTTCTAAACAGTTTTAATCATGCCTTTGTTTTAGAGGACAGATGACAGTTGCTCAAACTGTAATATCCAGGATAGTATCTACGTCAAGTTAAATAAAGTGCATGCCCTCGACATTTTCGGGATATGCAGTGTATCGTTCGACATACCGTTATGTCGTCATCTTCCTCTTCTTCTTTCACATCTTCAGTCATGTCTGATACGTCCACGAGATCGCTGTCATACATCTCATCGTCAGATCCACCGAGCATTTTGTGCTCAATACACGTGCCTTTCACGGCTTCTCCACGTTGCTTCTTCACTTTCTTCACTCCACCATTCTTCACCTTACTGAATACAACACAAAATAGCAGCAACTATACACTAGACAAATCTCATAAATGTTAATAATCACGAGGCCCAACCTATTCTTGGACTTCTTGAGGCCATTTGCAACCTTTGTCTTGCCTTCGCCGCGCACAGGGACTTCTCTGTCTTCTCTCAGGTCAGCCTGAAAATTGAATACTTATATTGCAGTTTTCCCATAATAGAACAGATTTTCCAAACGCTCAAATAAACAGGAGCAGATTTCGGAAACGCAGAACTTAAAATACACTATATCTATGAACATACAGTGTAATACGAGCTGGTTTTCGCTGCAGTACCTTGCCACCATAAGATGCTTCTCGACCCTAAAACTTCAAAAATCGGATCGCTGCGTGAAAAATGGCCGGTTCTGTGTGTCAATATAACAAAGTGTGTATTCTACCCAATATCCCGCACCATCACTGCTAGCAGGAAGGGGACAAAAGGAGAGGGGCAGGAAGTCGAGTGAAACAACAATCTAAGGGCGGTTGTGATGGGAAGTGAGTCGCACAATTTTTTGAAAATCAGGCGTTGTTCGACCTGGGATGGAGGGAGGAGGGAGGGAGCGGGTTTGGTGGGCGCCTCGCCATTATTAGTGTGCAACTCAACAAGAGTTTAGAGACGACTCGTAGTGTGTCATTGAGTGGGATGGGTCTCGGTGCGAATGCTACACACGTCACCTCGTTTGCAGCGCTCTATTCGCCGCGACTGGGAAGTAATGCTGAATACTCTGAATATACGCCCCGACAGCCCCATCATATTCCCCAGTAACCAACAAACACGCCAAAATGTCGAGCATCAGTGGACGAACCACTATGTGGCCACATTCGTGAAATTTTCTGAGATTGTGAAGAGCTGTCAGAAACAGCACTCCGCGATCTGGTGGTCAGTAATAGAATGCTGAGTCGGTGGCAAAAATGACATTGGCCAATAATCTAGCGAGGTCCTAACGATAACCAGACTAATGTGCTAACCACCAAACCTCGAACGCAACTTTCTACCGTGTGACGCTGATGACCGTTCTCCCATAATTAACATGGATAGTGGGGAAACGCTCAATCATTACATGAACAATTGTGAAACCCCTTCAGACTGGTTTTGCAGAACCGGAATCACCGTCATCCGAAAAGAAACCTGGATCAGTTTAGACTGATTCACCCACCCCGAAGCACCTTCTCCTTTTGGTCCTAACAGGCCTACACATTCATAAACGGCAATCACAGTTTTGCACAAGGAGGCCTTCACAAAGACAAAGTGTACACTCACCTCCCAGGAGGATCGTTTCGCATGTGCGAGTCAATGATGTGCAGCTGCAGTAGGCAACGGCCACTTTCTTGCGCTCAAGATGCGGCGAAACTGGCTACAGTATAGTACTTGATCCCAGCTCCATACTCCCGTCCACAAAGCTATGAGGAGACGCCCGCCTTGTCCTCATAGTAGAACATTTGCGTAGTTACCATATTTCTGCAGCGAGACACTTTCTCAGCGGTAGAAAACAACCAGAAGTGAGATGGCACAGATGAATCGCGCTCGGCTACGGTCAGGCATGTGGTCCAGCAGCGTGGCAGCACGAGGAGGAGTATGGAGCCGGCACCACAGTATCATTACCCTTCAGCCTCATTCCCGTACAGTATTAAGCGGAGAAAATGGCATGCTACTGCAGCTGAGTGCTCATTACCTCACACATGGCAAGGATCAAGACCCATGGATGTGGTACAGTTAATCGTGCCCCCCTCCATATGGATCTCAACTAAAAACTATTATAAAATACCTTGCCTTTTTCTTGTATCTGTTCTTTTTCATTATGACTGGACCAGGCTTTTTCGGGAACGTTCTCCTGGGAGCTTCATCACCCATCTACAAGAAAACACTTGGAATTTCCAAGGAATTCCCAACTTCCAGCATCATTTTTCACAAGGTATGATATGGAAACTACCTATTGCAACACTCATAAACACAATTACATTGACTTCGAATCATTTTATTTACAAAGAAAAGAACATTCTGTACAAAACTGAGGCATGTACAAATGAGGAACTAATTCGAGTCTACCACAGGACAGAATGCGCTGCGCGGAGTCGATGTAACGTATGAACGATTGTTAACCAGAAGCAAGTCGACTAGACATATACATACATTTCGACGAAAACATATTGAATGTACAAGAAGAAAATTTTGCGAAAGGCAAGCACATAGTAAACTAACGAAGCTAACACACTGAGAGAATATACACTCCATGTCACGGCGACAGGCTGGGCGTGGCTGCAAAGTCCCAAAGCGCGATGGAGCTTGTAGTAGGATACTTTTGTCACAGACAAGATGACAGTTCCCCACAGTAAAATAACCTTCAAAAATCGCATCATACGCCATGTATGAATGGATGCGCGACCACGCCTCCCCCATCTTCGGGATATGGAGTGCACCATGTGACTCGTGCAATAATCTGTAACACTGGGAACCTTACCCACTTCAGCAAATGCATTGTAAATTTGATACTTCATAGAATTTCTACACATCTTGACGAGATTTCTATGTGATCAGAATGTAAAGTAGTTTACAGACAAAGAGATGAAAACATCACGAAGAGGGGGTTTAAGAGGGTCCCGTACATCTGCGAACTTGAGTTCGGGTGCTCGGCTAAATCTGAAGAAGAGAGAAGTCGCACCGCCGCGTGCCCCATCCCCTCTAAACGACGCCCTACTTCCATAGGAGACTAAAACGGAAATTCCTTTCAACCATTATTGGGATCGGAAAGATGAGGACTGTGTGATCTATGAGACATTGACCAGGTAAAAGGTTGATTTAACTTGGAAATACGTTCCAGAAGTACTTCATCGAAAAATTAAAAAAACCAGGACTGTGAGGAAATACACTCCATATCCCAGAGATGGGGAGGGCGTGACTGCATACTTCACCTGAGTAAGTTGGGAAGACGCTTTTCACGGGATACTTTCATTTGAAGGAACTATAACCCTGTATCGTGCTACGTGACATGGCTACAAGTATCCCAATGCGGCATTATTTCACTGAACGCTTATGCAGTGCGCAGCCACGCCCTCCCCTCTGGGATATGGAGTATATAAGCACAAAATACCACAAGGAGCCATCGTGACCCAAACCAAAGAAACAAAATGTGATTTTTTTTTAAGGAAATTTCACTGTTTGAGCTTTTTTTGACAATTTAAGTACATTGAATCAAAATCAATCAAAAGTGAAGAGAACTATCAGAACACGAAATTATGCACATCAAAACGCAATGAGGCACTTCCAAAGAATTTCGTGCTTGTTCCTACCAGGGTAAAGCGAGCATAAACATTTTGAAACGTAAAAAATCAAAACCATAAATCATCAGAAGAAGCAACGGGTACATAAAACTACTAGCAATTGCTTTGGCTTTAAGAGAAGAGAAAAGCTTTTTGAAGATCAACATTGTAGCGCTGGAAACTGCCGATAACCTACCGATGCCATGGTGTCAGTTTCTTATAGCAATCACTTCAGCTATTACCCGTTTTCAAACGTTCATGAAGTGTGGTGGAGGTTCATTCTCGTCATCTTCTTGTTGACGTCTCCGCTCTTCGTCCTCTTCTTCTTCTCGTCTGCGTTCATCTTCCGGTTCTTCTTCGCTCGTTCCGGGCAAATTCGGACGGAGCACCAAACGGCTCCGGGCGTCGCTCTCGGGCACCAACGACTCTGAATGAGTTCAATAAATAACATTTATTGCGCTCCATTACTTGGGAGATATCAGAATTTCACAAAATATTTGTAGGGCGGGGGAGGGCGCGCCGTGCGCTTTCGCAGCTCCACTAGTTGCGTTTTACAAGTTTTACTGAAGCCTGTGACTCATGTGAAGATGGAGCAAGCTCGTCGACCCACCATGGTAACTAATCTTTGTATGCATTTCATTGCTCTACAATATTTGCAGGTGGTCTCTACGAGCTTTGGCGGTCGATATATTTCGTCATCTTCACAGGTCCATCTCACTTGAGTGACTCCGATATGTCGATGGGGAAGCAGCAATAATGCAGAATATTCCCCTCACCTGGCGTGGCCCTGCTGCGTGTAACTGTAGGTTCGAAAAATCAAGGGCTCTTCATTTCCAAAGGTTATGTGAAGAAAGGAGTCGAGTACCAAAACTAGTGGCCTACCGATTGGGTAGCTTTTATAGGTTGGAAAGAAAGTCCTGTCACTGTTGTGATTTTTTCTTTTTTATTTTCTAACTCAACATGAAATAAAAACTAATCAATAATATAATCGCCATTGTTAGCCACTACAGTGCTCCACCTAATGGGCAACTCAGCTATCCCCTTCTCCCAGAACTGAGGAGGCTGCGAGTCGAAGAAGTAGGCAACTTCTCGATTGATGCCATCAAATTCGCTGAAGGTTTTCTTACCTAGGAAAGCCTTGAGGGAGCGGAACAAGTAGTAGTCGGAGGGGGCTAGGTCTGGAGAATATGGTGGATGGGGAACGGTCTCCCAGCCTAGCTCCTCAATTTGGCGGTGGGTCTCTTTAGCCACATGTGGTCTGGCGTTATCATGGAGGAGGTGCACCGAAGCTCGTCTCGGCCGCTTTTCTCGAAGAGTTTCTGGAGTTGGGCGGCGTAAACGGTAGCGGTAACCGTATGCCCTTGCGGAAGCAGCTCGTGGTGCAGCATGCCCTTCGAATCCCAGAAGCAGCAGAGGAGGACCTTCTTGGAGTGCAGGTTCGATCTGGGTTGCGTAGGCGGGTCTTCTCCTCGAGGGAGCCACATGGCACGACGTAGGTTGGAATCATAGAGGACCCAGCTTTCATCTCCAGTCACAATATCTTCCAGAAACTCCTTCCGGTTACGGTGTAGAAGGAGGGATCGACAGATGCTCACCCTGGCATACCGCGTGCCATCTGTTAGAGCATGAGGTATCCATCGCGTGAGGACTTTTCTGTAGCCAAGGGCCTGAAGGCGGCTTAGAGCTGTTGTATGGCTACACCCTAGCCTTGTCGCAGCGCGTGGTAGCCTCTGGATCCTCTCTGACAGGTTCGAGAAAACGGCGGAGTCTTCTACGCCGCGAGGTTTCCAGACGAAGATCGTCTCTCCTTTCGCGAAGCGAGCGAACCAACGGTGGACAGTCCTGACGGTGGTGGTGTCCTCCCCCAATGCACAGTTGATGGCCGCTGCCGTCGCTCCAGTGCCGCGGCGCCACTCATAGAAGATGATCACTCGAAGCTGCTCCAGTGAAACTGACATCATAAATAAACACAGGGAAGAGCAGGAGCCTTGATATACCTCTTGTGGAAAAGCTTCGAGAATGTTCTACAACCTTAGCATGTTACGTCATGTTCGAGCTTCGAAGATCAAAAACTGTAGGCTATCTAAAAAACACTGACAGGACTTTCTTTCCAACCTATAACTAAAGAAGACTCTCCTTTTTGCCAGCAGAAAATTTGCAGAAATGAAGCTGTAGGGTTCCAACAGTCGGAAGTTCTCTGTATCTCCGTCAGCTCTTCAACGCAATAAGCAGATCATACACACGTAACACGCCGCGCGTCCAGTCAGACTCCTAACTATAGCACACCTATACTCGTCTGCGGTCCCTCACTATGAATGGGGCGCCATAATTCTCCATAGTTTCACTTCGGCAGCCTGCTAACACGTTCCCTGGCTAGCAGCGAACGAGCTGGCAACGTGCCCGAAACGCGTGGCGTGCGCATCGCGTATCAAAAAACGGGCGAAAGCATAAGGAAGACCCAGCTATCACAATCTTCCAGTTTCACTTCCGAGCATGCGGCGGAGAAAGTCTCCAGTCAAGTGACAGCAGACCTCCCAATTGCACATGGAATGGGTTTTCTCATAGATAATTGCGAAGTATGCCTTTAACCACGCTACAACGGCTAGAGATTGTGGTCCTCCGTGGGGATCCCCTGCGAGGGGGGATTATATTTGTTAGGTGGAGGGAGAAGGCTCGTTTTTGCTTTTGTGAAAAATGTTTTCGGTTGTTGACTTCACTCGATTTGCACATGCGCTACATACTCCGCCCCCCGCTCAATGGCACTTCTACGGAGAGAAACCAGAGTATTTCCTGCATTGGAAACTGGTAGGAAAAGTAGTGGAAGAAATAAGGAAGTTTGATATGTAGTAGGGTGGTGGGGGGGGGGGAGTGAGCAGAATTGCACCAGAGGAGAAGCTTTCAAGGAGGTCGTACTTTGCAAAAAATCCCCCCTCCATACTCTATCAGAGATGGCGCCTAAGCCTCAGAAAAAGCTTTTCTACAGCAACCCTCGAAGTCTATAAGGAAACATGAAAAAATAGCTATCTTAAATGAAATATCTCCCTACCTTCCATCTGACTGAGTTGGGGCACACCAAAGACACTTTGTGCATGCATACCAGCCATACTGGCACCATAACTAGGCACGGGAGCGTTACTCCTTCGTAGGCTCTCTTCATGCATTTCTCGAAGGAATAACGTCTTAATACGCATGTCAGCTCCAGCCGAATCCAAGTCGATACCTGGAAAGTGAGCACACATTATCAGTGACTTTACTTCCGGAAAAGCAACAGGATGCTCGTCTCAAAAAATTATCCTCACCACTTTGCTGAAGGCTATGCGTCAACGAATCTGCTCCTTGAGGATTAGTATGATAGAGGGTAGGAAGAAGACCACAAACAATTGAATCTGGGGCTACGCGATGCGCATAGTAACCTTCACCTGAACGCAGATCTCTCAAATAAACGGTATAAATCTAGTTCAGCTACATTTCCTATCGTTGTGAGTACCTCTTAAGGACTCATCACCTGTCAAGCGTACCTGTCACATTGGTCCTGTACGGTGATGCCCTTATTGATGGCATTATTGAATGCATTGAATCCAGGAGCAAATTTCGTTCGTCATTCATAGCAGCTGGCTGCATAGCTGCGTTGACGTCACGTTCCAGCTAAAAGTTCCACACGATAAAATTCTGACCGCAATTCAACTATATTAATACCAACCTTGGCCCTGAATCTCTGCAAAAATTGTTCCGTGGCTGGCGGACACTTCCATTCGGGATTGTTTGACGCGAAGTGAAGAATGGAAAGCTCGGTTTTTCCATCCATTGCCGGGGCTGAATACAAGGAAATGGTAGAACATTCAGCCAAACAGAAAGGTAAATAATACAATCAAAAACGCTGAAGGAGCACTGATAAACTTAGAAAGAAAACCACATGGATCAAAGCCACGCTGAACAACGGTGGTCGTGCGGCTCAAAACGGTCGGTCGTGCGGCTACTGATGAGTAGATAGTAAACAACACAAGAAAAGACGTAAAAAAACAGTGAAAACCAGCCCGCAATGGCTCACATAGAACTTCGCGCCGAAGCGCGCTAGTCGCTTAAGGCAAAGAAAGGGCGTTGTCGGACAAATTCTCACTCTTGAAATCAGTTGTTTCTCCTTATCACCTCACTCTGACAATTTCAGATGGAGAGTTAGTCGCAGAACTACCGCACCACTAGAAAACTCCTAGAAATAAGACTGGGCGTTGCCGTGGCCAGTGGCCGGGACCGTGGCCTGTCACGAGCGGATCGCGCTTTCCTCTCGTACTTCTGTTGAGCTGTGAAAGTATCACATTCTCGGTACTCGTGGGCAAGACTACAATGTCCAAAGGAAGCGTCTGCACATCAAATGAACGTGAAACGTGTATTGAAGTGCATTTCAAAACTTCAGGGAGGAAAGCTCATCGGAAGATCACCCCGTTTTCTTGGTATTGAATTTAAGGGTAATCATTCTCAGAGACACATTCCGCAACGATCAAATGCACATTGTCACTCGGGCCGTTGTGCCTTTTTCGCCTCTCCTTCTAACGATGGCATGCACAAAGGAGGAGTGAACCTATGAAGAAAATGTAGTGGTCCAAGTGGACTCCACCCACCTGATCAGCACGGAAAAGAAGATCGAAGACTTACCAGCAGTTGGATGTGATGTAGAGCCATTCCATTTCACATCTCCATGCCTTGCAACATCCATTAGCGCATACGAGCACACATCACCAAGCCCATCTACACGTACCGTATTGTCGTGAAAGAAACGCACCAATTCACGACAATTTGGTCGGATCCTGATATTTGGGCAATACTTGCACTCAAAAAAAGGCAAAAAGGAAAGTCTTGATAGAGCTTGCTCGCAAGAATACATACATATCAATGAGGAGGAAACTTACCAAAATAGAAGGATGAATGGCGTCAAAATAGGACTGCTCAATTCCTGCAGTAAAAACACCCACTTCAACTGAAACAGCTGCTCAAATTCACGACGAACTTGTTCTGTATGGAGCCTGAAAGATAGTACTATATTCTATAAGCAGAATAACTGTCTAAACCCCCTCGTATAGAGTCGTCAAATGGAAGGGGAAATCAAATCTCAAAGAAAATCTGGACAATGACAAAATCAGATCCAGAAAAAGGCGGGGGTTTTCTAAGGAAGCGCCTTTTGTAAGAGTAGGCGTAATTCACGATAAACTTGCGCAAACATCCCGCGCAACATACTTTTAACTAAAGCGGAGCCAATAAGCGACACGTCGGTCGCGATTTCCTAATTGCACCAACAACGAAGTTACCAGAGTATAACGCAGAATACAGGAGGCGTTCAGACTTCTGGATGAAACCCGTTTACGCGCTGTAAGCATTATTCAGTCTGCGACTTGAACGAAAAAGGCGGTTTGGCAAAAGCAAGAAAATAGCGGATTCGATCGGAGAATCGCCAACCGCTAGTTTCGCCGAACCGCCGCGGTTCGGCGGTTGGGCGAAAAGCAATAGATGCGTATCGATTTCGCTGGCGAAAAACGCCAGGCGATCGAGCTAGCGTTTCGAAGGCGAAAAACGTCGCGGTTTGGCGAAACGCCCGTCGATTCGTACTCAAAAACCCTGTTCGCCCGAACCCGCCAGACTCTTCGCCCCAACCGCCAGTCGATATGTATCAAAAGCTTTTCGCCGAAGCGTTTCTTTCTAGAGAAACGCTGGGCCGCAGACTGTGAAATGCCTAACATGCCACCGCTCTGCAGTAGCGCTACAGTACTATAGACCTAGGAAACAGCCGCAAACAGGTATCAGATTGGCTGCTGGCTGTATGTTTTGAGAGAGAGAAAGAACAGGAGGATGAGTCTGCTTCACGAAATTCGGGACCCTTCTAATTCTTCCATATTAACTCTCTCTCAAAGCAGCAAATTATACCCGGCGCCGATCGATACCCATCTAACGTCCCCGCTCACCAGCTGAAACGCCAACTGAAGGTAGCCGTCGACGTGCGAGCCGAAATCAAGCGCTCTAAGACAGAGGCGATGCCATTATGCACGGTTAATCGCCTTTTTGAGGACATTTTTTAAGCATTTGCAGGATGGGTTGTTTGGGCTTAACCGACGTACAAGTCTGCCACCAAGTGTCTTGTCAAAACGCCACTATTTGCTATTTGCAACGTACTAAGGGACTATTTGCAACCTCCGAATCAAGCCGGAGTGCAGCTTTGTGGATAGTGAAATCCACTTCGCGGAGGAAATAAATAAATAAATAAATATAAAAAAAATTTAAAAACTATAAAAAGTAAGAGATAGGAAAGGTTTTGTTCTACAGAACATCACACGAGTTGAGTGAACGGCAATCCGTAAATCTCCCACTTGAATTTCGTAGTTTTTTTTTTCGAGATGATTTCAAATATCAAGCCCCAGTACCTGTCCCTTCCATTCCGTTGGCACGTAGTGTAGTTCGCTTGCTATATGCGTCATTAGCGCTTCCGGTTGCCAAACGAGATTCTCATCTGACATTATGCCATGGCATACTACCATGACGATACCACAAACTGAGATCACAGTCAGAACATGTTCCACCTAAAAGACGAAAAAAAACTTCGGATAAATCATAGAATAACTTATTTCACTTGAATTTCATTTCCTTCAAGCGAGAGGAGCCATGGTGGAAAACTCTTGCAACAGGACCGGTTTACATGCCTTTAGCAGCCAATGAGTATGACGCAACCCGTTTACCGTCTTATCGTCGGCGGTCATCTCTACGATTACGCAAACCCAAAAGATCAAGTTTTACTGCGTCAATAGTTTAACATCAGGTCTTCCCAAAGAATAACCGACTTCGGATACTAGTATCTATTCGAAAAACACATAAGCTGTTGAGCATATGAAGTTATCGGGCAGGTGAGACAATTGGCAGCATTTGCGACCACCTACATTTAGGCTGCTTTCATAGTTTTGGTAGGCTTTTCGCGCCTTCTGGGTGCAAAGGAAAGAATGGGCATTGATCTAGGGTATTGGAGAAAACGCCAGCGTTCTCGGCATTTTGTTCAGAACGCCCATGGTGCTATATCGATACCTATACGTTCATTTTCGCTCACAATGCTGGCGTTTCCCCAAAACGCTCCGGTCGCTAAAGTTTCTCTCAATACGCCTTCGTTTCTCCCAGAAATCGATACCTGTTCTTTCCTTTTTCTCTTCCTATAGCCCTTTAAGTAGCAGACCACGTACACGAGCCACATCAGCGCCCAAACCACAAAAAATTTCAAATGACAAATCACGTAGAGGCCTCACCTGTAGAACGTCCTCGTCCCAAGCCGACAAGGATAGCCAAAACTCCAGCAATGGCTCCAGCAATAAATGCAACATTCTTTGCGAATATCTCGGTCAATGCCGAGGTAAATTGGTTCAAATAAGCATTTGCATGGACATGCGATCTATTCAGACGTGCCGTCAGCTCATGGATTAAGCTCATTGAAGTGCCTCATACGATACCTGGAATGAAGACAAATAAATACCCCATAGAAAAGCTATTCAGCTGAAGCTACTACAAAAGAAGGTATTCCGACCTGCCGTAGTTCGAATACCGACGCATCCCCAAAGCATCACGACGACGTTTTATTAGTTCAGATAATGTGAAAAATGCGTACAGAATTTGATAC